GGGAGTCACAAAGGACATCTCTGTATGTAAAATAGGAACTAGAAAGATGCCACCCACTGGCTAATGAAAATGTTAAGAAGAATCAGGGGTTACTTACAAGAAGTCAGAACCACAGTCCTGTACCACATGTAGGAGTGCATTCCAAATGGACATTTGAAGTATAATACAAAACCCCCGAAGTTGATAAATTCACCTATAAATTGTTCCTGCATTAGTGAAACCAGTGGGCCCCAGCAGTGGCAATCCAAATAGTTCTGCAGTGATGCTTTCATAGCTTAGGGTACACAGAATTTCCATGGAAAATAACTCTCACTGAAAAGGAGTTCACAGTAAAAAAATTACAAACTTCAAAAGGAAATGAACCACAATGAGTTGAAAACTTATGTCTACAGAAAAGCCTGCACATGATGTTTATAGCAGCTTCATTCATAATGGCCCCAAACTGGAAGCAACCAAGATGTCCTTCAATAGGTGAATGGATAAACAAAGTGATCCACAATGGAATATTATTCAGCAATAAAAAGAAATGGGCTATCAAGCCATGGACATGGAGTAAACTTAAATGCATATTGCTATTTGAAAGAAGCCAGTCTGAAAAGGCTACATACTATATGATTCCAACTATATGACATTCTAGGAAAGGCAAAACTATAGAGATAGTAAAAAGATCAGTACTTGCCAGGAGAGAGTGAAAAAGGGATGAAAAAGCAAAGCACAGGGGATTTTTTAAGGGCGGGAAAACTATTCTGTATGAAACAGTAATGGTGGATTTTTATGCATTTGACAAAACCCATAGAACTGAACAACACAAAGAGTGAACCTTAATGTAAGATGTGACTTTAGTTAATAATAATGTATTCATTCACCGGTTGTAACACATGTACCATACTAATGCAAGATGTTACTATTAGGGGAAATTGGCGGGGTGGGGGCGGGCAGAGAGAGGTATAAGGAAACTCTCTGGAGAGAGATGTGTAAAGGGATGGAGATATACCATGAAAACCTAACCAAAAGAAAGCTGGAGAAATTACATTAATTTCAGACAATGATTTCAGAACAAGAAGGATTTTCTGGCACAAAGAGGGACATTACAAAATGATAAAACAGTCAATTCTTTGAGAAGAAATAACAATCCTGAAAGTGTATGTACCTAATAACAGCACTTCAAAATACATGAGGCAAAAATGGATACATCTGAAAGAGAAACAGACAAATCCACAATTATTGTTGGAGACTTCAACACTCTTTCTCTCAATAATTGATAGAACAAGTAGACAGAAAACCAGCAAGGATATAGATAATCTGAACAGCACCATCAACCAACTTCACCTAATTGACATTCAGAGAACACTGCATCCAACAACAGCAGAATATACATTCTTTTCAAGTGCATATGAAACATTCACCAAGATAGAACATATTCTGGGTCTTAAAACAAACCTGTACAAATTTATAAGAAATCATATTATGTGCAATAACAGTATTACAACAAAAAATCAATGAGAAAGGTACTTGGAAAACCCCAAATATTTGGAAATTTAAAGATATACTTACTTCTAAATAAGTCTTAAGGGGAATTTGAAACTATTTTGAATTAAATGAAAATACAACATACCATAATTTGTGGGACACAGATAAAACAGCAATTGGAGGGACATTTATAGCACTGAATGCATATATTAGAAACAAAGATCAAGCAGAAGAAAAGAAATAATAAGAGCAGAAATCAATGAAGTTGAAAATAGGAATGGTCTTCAAATGGTGAATGGCTAAACAAACTGTGGTACATCCATTTGGTGGAATACTACTCCGTGACAAAAAGGAAGAAACTCTGGGTACTCACAACGGGATGAATCCAACTGAGAAGTATGCTAAGTGAAAAGAACCAATCCCACAAACTATCATACTGTATGACCTCACTTATGTAATATTCTTGAAGTGACAAAATTAGAGAAATGGAGAACAAATTAGTAGTTGCCAGGGCTTAAGAAGGGGTGGAGTGGGAAGGAATGGGTATAGCTATACAAAGGCAACATGAGGGACCCTTGTAGTAATGGAAATGTTCTGTATCTTGACTTTCTCAATGTCAATATCCTTGTTGTGATTTGTAGTATAACTTTTCAAGATGTCACCATTAGTAGAAACTAGGTAGAATACATGAGATCTCTCTGTATTATTTCCTACAAGGGCATGGGAATCTACAATTATCTCAACATGGAATGTTTAATTTAAAAAATAGTCAAATATTCCAAAGAGGAGAATGGTGAAGAGAAACAACAACAACAACAAAAAACAAAAAGAAGTTTGGTTTGGAGGATGAACAGAAAATAAACAATACAATGGTACATCTAAATCCAATAATATCAATAATTATATAGGATATAATTGTCTAAAGGAGAAAAAACACAATCATAGGAACTGATCCATAAAAATAATTTATAACATCCATTCATAAAACTTTCAGAAAATCAGGATTAGAAGGAAATATCCTCAACCTTTATCAGGCCATCTATGAAAAAACCTACAAGTAAGATTATGCCTAATGGTGACACAGTAAATGCTTTTATCCTAAGATCAGGATCGAGGCAAGTATGTTGCTCTCGCTACTCCTAGTCAACATTATACTGAAGGTCCTAGCCAGTAAGTACAATAAGGTAAGAAAAAGAAATAAAGGCATTCAGACTGGTAAAAGAAATAAACTGTCCTTATTCATAACTACATGATTGTTTATGTAGAAAATACCAAACCATCTATGAAAGAGCTACTGGCACTAATATGTGAGCTTATTAGAAAGGTTCCAGGATACAAAGCCAATATGGAAAAATCAATTACACTTCTATAAACTAGCAGTGAGAAATAGGAAAGTGAAATATAAAACAACAATATACATACACACACTCCATTTATATTACCTTGCAAGAACATAAAACACAGGGGTAAATTAAACAAAATATGTGCAAGACCTATCCATTCAAAGCTATCAAATATTACTGAAATAAATTTTAAAAGACTGAAATAAACAGATATACAATATTCATGATTTAGAAGGCTAAACATTGCACATCAATTATCCACAGATTCCATGCAATGTCAAAACCCCCTGCAGGCTTTTTTACAGAAATTGGCAAGCTGATTCTAAAATTTCTAGGAAAATACCAAGGATCTAAACTAGCTAAAACATTATAAAAAAAGAAGAACAAAGTAAGAGGACTCATACTATCTGATTTGAACACATAATATAAGGCTACAGTAATTAAGACCTCTTGTACAGGTTGTGTATCATTTATCCAAAATGCTTGGAACCAGAAGTGTCTTGGATTTCAGATTTTTTTGGTTTTCAGAATGTTTGCATTATATATTTACTGGTTCAGCATGCCTAACCTGAAAACATGAAATCTGAAATGCTTCAATGAACATTTCCTTTGGATGCCATGTCAGTGGCTCAAGAAGTTTTGGATTTTAGAGCATTTTGGATTTTGGATTTCTGGATTAGGGATACTCAACCTGTACTGGTGTACAGAGTGACACATATGTTCAAGTACTTTTCAAAAAGGATGCCAAAGTAAGTTAACTAAGAAAGAACAGTCTAGAATAGACTGTGGATATTTGATAGTAACTTATCTTTCTTACTTATCCTCTCTTCTGCTCCAGTTAATCTGCTATTAAGTCTATATATTAAATTCTTTTTTTGTTGTTGTTTTTAAAGTTTGTGTTTCTTTTTCCTTTTTCATATATATTAAATTCTTAATTTTCAGTTTTCATTAGATTATTTTATATATCCTAGTTCCCCAGTGAAATTCTTACCCTTGATATTTTTTTTGAGACAGTCTCACTCTGTTGCCCAGGCTGGAGTGTAGTGGTGTGATCTTGGCTCACTGCAACCTCTGCCTCCTGGATTCAAGTGATTCTCATGCCTCAGCCTCCTGAGTAGCTAGGACTACAGGTGTACACCACCATGCCCAGCTAATTTTTTAGTAGAGATAGGGTCTCACTATGTTGCCCAGGCTGGTCTCAACCTCCTGGGCTTAAGGGATCCTCCCACCTCAGCCTCCCAAAGTGCTGGGATTATAGGTGTGAGCCACCACACCTGGCATCATTTTAAAGTAGATGTCAAATTACAAATGGATCACTTGTTGATTTGAGAAAAAGAAAGAATATTCTTTTCAAAAATGTTACTGGAAATGCGTATGTAAAAATACTATGAAAGTATGCTGACCCTTCCCTCACACCAGATACAAAAATTAAGTCATTAACAGTCACAGACTTAAATATAAGAACTAAAATTATGAATCTCCTGGAAGAAAACATATGAAAAAAACTCTATTACCCTGGGTTAGAGAGAGATTTGCTAAAAAGGACATAAAAAACATGAACCATAAAAGAAAAATTTAATAAATTGGACTTTATAAAAAAACAGAAACTTTTTTTTTCAAAAGATACTGTTCTGAACAAAACAAGCCATAGTCTAGGAGTAAATACTTGGAAAACACATAGCTGGTCAGGACTTATATCCATATATATTGATATAAATAACTCTCACAATTCAATAACAATGGCAAAATATTACAATAGACACTTCACCACAGAACATATACAGATGGCAAATAAGCACATGAAAACATGCTCAACATCACTGATCGTTACAGAAATGCAAATTCAAATCATAATGCGATCCCCCTACATACCTACTAGAAAGGTGTGTTGTTGGTGGGAAAACAAAATAGTACAGCCACTTTAGAAAACACTTGACAGTATCTTTTTTTTTCTTTTGAGAGACAGGGTCTCACTCTGTTGCCCAGGCTGGAGTAGAGTGGCATGATCTCAGCTCACTGCAACCTCTGCTTCCTGGGTTCAAGCAATTCTGTCTCAGCTTCCCAAGTAGCTGGAATTACAGGTGTGCGCCACCACACCCAGCTAATTTTTGTATTTTTAGTAGAGACGGGGTTTTACACTATTTTGGCCAGGCTGGTCTCAAATTCCTGACCTCAAGCGATCCGCCTGCTTCAGTCTCCCAAAGTGCTGGGATTACAGGCATGAGCCACCGTGTCCGGCCCAATGTCTTATAAAGTTAAACATATGTTTACCATACAGCCAAGCAATCTCACTCCAGATATTTACTCAAGAGATATGAAAACAAAGATCCACAGAAATGCCTACACAAGAATGTTCACCAGCTTCATTCATAATAACCAAAACAACAGGGACAGTTCAAATGTGCATTAAGTGGTACATCAACAGACAAACTGGAACACTACTCAGTTATCAAAAGAACAAACTGATACATGCCACAACATGGATGAGCCTAAAATGCATTAAGGTAAGTAAAAGAAGCCAGCCACATGACATTCTAGAAAGAACCAAACTAGAAGGAAAAGAGATCAAGCCTGGGATGAGGAGAGAGACTAAATTACAAAAAGAAACATGGAGTTTTTTGTAGGGGATGAAAATGTCCAATACCTTGATTGTGGTAGTAGTTACACAGCTATATATTTGTCAAAACTATACAACTGTACACCTAAGAAAGATAAATTTCATGGTATGTACATTATACCTTAATTTCATTTGAAAAAAAAAGAATGCAGTCATATCAGCATAAATATATAATGACCACATATGAAAAACACATATAGAAAATTATGTTCAAACAGTAACCTGTATAGCCAAAGATCATATGGTACCATTAGGGCATTTTATTTTATTAAAATACTTCATGAACACTAATGATAAAGTACTAACAAATATTGAACTCTAATTAATGATACACCTGTGAAGGTATTTAGGGGTTAAGGGTACTGATTTCTGTAACTTCCTTTGAAATGCACTACAAAAAAATCAAATTGATGGAAGGACAGAAGAATTGGCAGACAGACAGGAGATAAACATAGCAAAATGTTTATAATTATAAATCTAGGTGTTATTACAGAACACCCATATAGGGATTATATGGTGTTCAGTCTATAATTCTTTTACTTGTTTTATACAAAATTTTTCATAATAAAATGTTGAGGAGGAAAAGCTAAATAAAGAACAGCAAAGTAAACTGAAAGTAGAAAAAAGGAAATAACAGGAGAAATCAATAAAACAGAAAAATGGTAGAGAAAATTAACAAAGCTAAAACTTCTTTCTATGAAAAGATCAACAAACTTGAAATAAACTTCAGTTTGTACTACAACACGAGACTGGACAGTTTTCGTTATTATAATGAGGCTACTCTTGAAAGTAACAGTTCCTAGAAGATTTTTATTATCTCAGAATGACCAGTGAACTTATGGGACCAGCCAGTGGTTTCATCCAGGAGGCAGAGGGAAAAATACATTTTCTGAAATAGATTTAAATACAGAGGAACAAGGAAGAAATTCAAGTTGCTTTCTGATTCCAACCCTGGGAGTTTGGAGACTGCCTAGGAGTGACTCCACGTTATTCATCCACATACAAGTGGCTAAGAGCATAGACTGTGGGGCCACATAGCCTGGGTTGGAATTCTGGCCACTTCCCTCACCAGCTATCCCATCCCATCCTGCTCGCATGCTCATTGCTATCTCCTATTTCGTTGCAATTCCTCTCAGCAGATATTTCAAGTAGTGGATCTTAACCAAAGATGGGCATCAGAATCCTCTGGCGTGTCACTCAAAATGCACATAACCAGGCCTACCCCAGGCTTTCTGAAACAATTTCTAGAGCAGGGCCTACTCATGGGTATTCTGACAGATCCACAGATAACTATGTAATACATCTCTGGTTAACAACCACCACATTAAATTAAAAAAAAAAAAAAAAAAAAACCTTTTTAATGGATAACAACAACAATAAAAATGGTGATAACATTTGTTGAGTGCTTCCTTTATCCCAGGCATCCTTTTAGGTGCCTTACATGCATCAAATCATTAATTTCTGACAATCGTTCAGTTCTATCATTAGCCCCATTCTACAACAGGTAGAGAGGCCAACCAATGTGTGCACAGTGATAGTTAGTGAGGGAAGTGGCCAGAATTTCAACCCAGGCTATGTGGCTCCACAGTCCATGGTCTTAGCCACTTGTATCTGGATGTATAACAAAGCTCCTTCCTCTGCCCAGGTCCAAAACAATCAGTGCAATATTTACTGAATGTCTTCCACCAGTCTCACACTAGAACATGTCAGAACAGGATGTAGGCTCTTACGTCTAGGGGTTTGTGTTCAAGCTAGAGAAATGAGCCACTGGCCCTTAGCTAGATTTTTTTTAAAGTTAGTCTATGAAATGCACAGCTATATTATTTAAAGTTACAAATGTAACCAATAAAGGAACTAAAAATAAGCATTTAACAAACTTGTAAAGAGCTGGGGAGTGGAGGGCCAAAGTGTGAGGGAAATCCTTACTTTTCATAGAGGGGAGATAAAACTGAAAACCCACAAAATGCAGATATAAAGGTATTCCCTAAACCTATGGAAGTGCTCAGAACCAAATAGAGAAACCTTTACAAGAAGCTGCCCTTGGAAGGCATGACTGGGAATGTACCTAAGATTACTTTTTAGCCTATACTGTTCTGCACTCTTAAACTGAACATATAAATGTCTGTATTTTAATATAATAGAGTTTTTATTATGAGAGAATTGGGACTCAGGAAGGTGGGCTGTGCCTGAATTTGTTTTTCCTCCCTTCCAGGATAGCACTGAAACAAGAACAAGACACACAGTCATTACAATTCCAGGCATCACTGGAAGAAGGCAAGCATACTGTCAGCACACCAGAAATCCTGATGAATCTCTTGGCAGCAGATGTGGAATTACACTGAGCACTAAAGAGGTTATCATTGCCTAAACATTCCTGGGGGAAGCTACAGAGTGGTAGGAGACACAAATGCCAGCACAGGGAGGATCTCAGAGAGCTGGTGTGTGCGCTGAGGAGTGGGTTCTGGACGAAGCCATCTGAGGAGTCATCTGTAGGTCCTTGGGGCCCGCACCTGACTGCAGTTGATGCTCTGAAATTAATCTCTAATGAGCAGTGGTTCTCAAGCTTTACTATGCCTATGGTATCCCTGGGGAACTTGTTGAAATGCATATTCTCATTCAGAAAATCTAGAGTGGGGCCTCAGATTCTGATTTTCTACTTAGGGCCCCAACAAAGCCCAAGCTGCTGGTTCAGGGATCGCCCTCTGAAGAGTAAGAACATTCTAAACAGGCTTCTTTGCCATAGGACACTGAAGGGGGTACTATGAAGGGGAGAGAAAGAGCAGACCAGTGTATCTGAAGAGTTTCTGGATCCTTATAGGCAGCCCACAGGAAAAACAGACAAGGAAAAAGCAGCTCTATGCAGGACTAAAATGCAGTTCACTGAAGTATTCCACCCTGGGAGTAATGTCCTCTCAAGTGTGTTTATATTGTGAATAAGTAAAGAGATAATATCAAAAGCAAGAGTTAAGTGGGAAGTCTGTATTGAAAAGTGGAGGAATCTAATAACAGGTAGTATCAAGTCAGATCTGTAAGAGTCTGAGAAGAAATAAGTAGAGAAAACAGAAAATGGTGTGAGGTTTACAGTGTTAACTACAAACAGAGCAGGTAAGAATGTGGTAGGTACCTGGCTGGTAAAGGTCAATGGCACAGCTTTGGTGTCCATACTGGCTCCCAAAAAAAACAGGTATGATAATATACCTTAGGCTAAAAAAAAAAAAAATAGTCCAAATTTCAGCCTGAAAGGGCCCACAGTATGCCCAGTAAAGAGGAAATGCTGACATCTATTAATACATCTACTATGGTGAAAATACAAAAGGCCAAGAAGGTAGGAGAATAAGTCTTAAACACTTCCATAAAGGTGGTGGGAGAGGAATGAGAAGGGGCTTGGCACTTCTCACCAGCAAGCCAGGAGGCTGGAAGGTAGAAATGGGATCTCAGAACAAGAGTGGCCACAACCTATGTGAACGCCAAGCAAAGAACACAGAGACTGTAACTGGCTGCCAGGCAGAGGCCTCATGTGCACATGACAATACCTCCGTTCATCAGTCTAGGCGTGTCCACAAGTCCGGGGCTCTTAGAAGGGCTCCTGAGCGCATCCCAGAAGCCAAGCTCTCACGAACCAACCTGGTCCCCTTTCCCCGGCCTGACTCACCTGGCCTGTCCTCACCTGCACAGGTGCGCACCGGGGTCCCTCCATCTGCCCTCCAGGACTCTTCTCCTGGTCCCAACCTGAAGATCATATCTGGTTTGGCAAGCAGATACCCTGTTCAGGGGAAATGACACAGGACTTCGTTATTAAAGCTGAGGAATTCCAGAACCTAGGCCCATCCCTGCAGGCTGAAGGTGGCACGGCCTCGGTGACGGCCCCATGCATCCAGCTTATCTGCCCCTCAGTACAGAACAGTCACAAAGCAAGCAATGGCACCAATATGCTGTCCGGCGTCCAAACGGGACTACGAATATGACACAGTGGGCTGTAACCCAAACCCACTGAGGCTTGTAACCCACACTCATTGTTCCCAGGCCCCGGAGCTTGGAGCAGCTGAGAAAGAAACACAGTACTGGGGGCATTCTGCATCACACTGTGACGCGGTCCCTCACCCACGGACACCAGGTGGCTGTAGTTCTCAAGCATGACGTCCCTGTAGAGGTTCTTCTGGGCAGAGTCCAGTTGCTGCCACTCCTCGAGGGTGAAGTCCACGAACACGTCCTTGAAGGTCAATGATTCCTGTAACGGCACATTCCTCTTTAGCACCCCGGGACCAGCCTGGGGCACTGGGACATGGCACCTCACGCACATGGAGGGTTTACTCTGTGCTCTCTGAAGTCCTCACACGTACTAAAGATTTCGATCCTCGCCGCCACCCTAGGAGAAACTTGACAGATGAAGAGCGCGAGGTGCACAGAGCCTAAGTAACTAGCTCAGGTCACATGGCCAGGAATGAGGGATTCGAATCCACGCAGTCTGGCTCCCGCACCCACGTCGGCCTTTCTCATGTAATCGCTCTTATGACAGTCACTAGTCAGTTCGGCACCATATATTACATAGAGTATCTACATGACTAAAATCATTTTGAACTTTATAGGAGAAACATATAGGGTATGAGAAATATCTTACCCTGGAAATTCATTCCTTCAACACATGTTTACTGAATAGAGGCCAGGCTGGTAAGTCCTGTGAAGTAAAGATTAATACAAAAAGATACATCTTGAACTCAAGGAGCTTCGGTTTAGTAGAGGGTGAAAAGTGACACTTAGACACTCACAGACGAAACGGAGGAAGGGAGGAAGCCTGCCTCACAGGGACAGGGACCGATGTAGGACAGGGTCCGGGTGGCCCACAGAGGAGGAAGTCAATTCTGCTTGGGGCTGTCAGACCAGGCTTCGCAGGAGACACAGAGCTACAACAAACAGTTCTAAACCTAGCTAACCAATCATGACAAACCATTCTAACCTTCATTCATCAATCATGAGACAAAGAACAGGAAGCCAGAGGTCTGTGGCCTGGGCAGCTGACCAAGGCAAAAGGGGAAGGGTGTGTGCTTGGCCTTGTCACCACCAAACAAAAACTCACTTCTGCAAGTGCCCCAATTCCTCGCAAAGACCACTACCCCCCGTTTCTGCTCCGGATCCCATCCTGTCATGCTCTCACTTTGGTGGCCTTCAATTCAAGCCACTTGTTGCACCCATAAGGCCCAAACCGGCCACAGTGGACACCAGTTTACCCAGCTGTGTGGAAGGAGAGGAGACAGGAAAGGCAGCGTGCCAGAGGGCGGTGACAGCCAGGTTTCTCCAGCAGGAGGGCTTCTCAGAGCAATCCAGGAGCTATTAGCCCAATCTGCCCCTCCCTCGTGATAGCTCCGGTGCCCGGGAACAAAACCACACTGCCGAGTGCTAGGATGACATTGCTTGGAAGCCCGAACCTGTTCCATAGACCAATATCTCTTGTAATGGTCCCAGTAACATGGCTTCCAGGGTCCTAGCAAAAGATGTGCCCAGTTACGTATCACTGAGTGACAATGGACTCAGAAAACCCCAATCTGGCCGGGCGTGGTGGCTCACACATGTAATGCCAGCACTTTGGGAGGCCAAGGCGGGCAGATCACCTGGGTTTGGGAGTTCAAGACCAGCCTGACCAATATGGTGAAACCCCGTCTCTACTAAAAATACAGAATCAGCCAGGCATGGTAGCGCATCGCTCGAGCCCAGGAGGCAGAGGTTCCAGTGAGTCAAGATTGTGCCATTCCACTCCAGCCTGGGCAAGAAGAGCGAGATTCTTTCTCAAAAAAAAAAAAAAGAAGAAAAAGAAAACCCCACTCCATGGCTTCCTACCAGCTCGTCAGTTTACTCAGTCCTCCCAGTCCAGATGCAGTTTGTTTACCAATCCGGAGTCATTCTTATTGGAAGTGATGTCACCTGGTTTGATATTGTGAAATATATATTTGGTTTTTGTCCTGTCTCCTGGCAAAAAGCTCCTGCAACCCTTGGAATAGCCCCTGAAGTGATCAAAAGTCTTATATATATTAATGAGATGACTGCTGGCTAACAGCCCTTAGGTAGCATCTGGATGTGGGCTGCTCACCAGAAAACCAGGCAGGATTAGAGGGCTGGGACTTTCATCTCCAACCTCCAAACTCCTGGGAGGGGAGAGAACCTGAAGGTTCAGTTGTTCACCAAGGGCCAATGATGATCAGTCCCACTGTGGCCAGGTGTGGTGGCTCGCTCCTGTGATCCCAGCACTATGGGTGGCTGAGGAGGATCACTTGAGGCCAGGAGGTTGGGGCTGCAGTGAGCCAAGATCGCACCACTGTATTCCAGCCTGGGAGACACAGCAAGACCCTGTCTCTGAAAAACAACAACGACATCTAAAGGACTGGGTGGGTTCGGACGGCTTCCAGACAGCTGAACACTTGGTGGTTCCCGGATGGCGGTGAGTCCAGAGAGGGCACGAAAGGTCCGTGGACCTTCCCACATCCCTTGCCCTATGCATCTCTTCCATCTGGCTGTTCATCTTTATCCTCTGTATGTCCTTTATAACAAATAGGGGAAAGAAACTCAGTTTCCCTGGGTCTTGGGACTCACTCTAGCAAATTAATCAATCTTCAGGAGGGGGTCGTGGGAAACCCCAATTTGTGGCCCATCCGTCAGATGTATAGGTGACATCCTACTTGTGACTGGCATCTCAAGTTGGGGCAGTCTTGTGGGACTAAGCCCCAACCTGTGGGAGCCGACGGTAACTCCAGGTAGACGGTGTCAGAAGGGAATTGACCTAGAGGACACCCAGCTGGTGTCCACTGCAGAACTGCCTGGTATATGGGGAAACAGCCTGGGGCCTGGGATCACAAGTGGTGTCGGAAGTGTTGTGTCAAGTGAGAGAAGACAGTAGAAAAACGTGGGTGTTGTTCCCTTCCTTATCTTTCAGACCCAGTAAAACAGCCGTCATCCCATTATGAAGTTTCCAGTAACACAGAGCTAAATATGACAATGATGAGAGTTAACAACTAATAGATCCTCTGAGTAAAGTGTCAGCGGTTACTTCATAGTAAAAGTATCTTAAATCTCTGCAGAAAAGATATCATCAGAAAAATCCGGCTAGGTATTTATGGAGGGAAGAAACTCCATAAAAGTAAATTACTTATCTCACTCTGAGCCCCCAAGTAAATTACAGATGGATTAGAGATTTAAATGTGTAAAAGATAACCATAAAAGTGAGAGGTAAGTTAAAAGTTTTTATAGTTTTGTAGTTACGGATAGTCTTTCCCCAAATTCATAAAATATACGGCTCTAGCGTGATAAAGTTGACTACCTAGACATTGGAATTTTTTTTTTTTTTTTTTTTTTTTGACAGAGTCTTGCTTTGTTGCCCCAGGCTGGAGTGCAGTGGTGCAATCTCAGGTCACTGCAACCTCCACCCCTCCAAGTTCAAGCGATTTTCCTGCCTCAGCCTCCCGAGTAGCTGGGATTACAGACATGTGCCACTATGTCTGGTTAATTTTTTGTATTTTTAGTAGAGATGGGGTTTCACCATGTTGGCCAGGCTGGTCTTGAACTCCTGACCTCAAGCAATCCACCTGCCTTGGCCTCCCAAAGTGCTGGGATTACAGGTGTGACTCACCACAGCTGGCCACTCCTATTAATCTTTTCTGAACTTTGATTTTTTTTCACTTAGACAAAAGTATTCCAAACATTCTTACATGTCAGCCAATTTTTATCATGACAGTTGCAGAGTACAGATGTGGCAATTTATTTAACCACTCTCTAGTCCTCCTAGTCCACGTGCAATTTGTTTACCAATCAGGGGTCATTTTTACCATAAACAATGTCACTTGGTAGTACAGCTATCATTCAACCATTATTGGATTCTCAGGAACACGGGACATTTAGGGCTTTCTCCTTCTACTTTTTGCTAGTATGAATAGAACTGCCTTGGACATCTTTATGGACATATAAATATTTCGCTAGGATGGAGTCCTATAAATGCAACTGCTGGTTAAAATAAGAAAAAGATCTTTAATAAGAACAGCCAAATTACCTGTCAACCAGCCAGTACTCTCATCCACAGTGGCTCTTATCTATCTTTTCAAAGTTTACCACTCTCATAGGTAGATGACAGCATGTATGTGAGTTTCAGTAATGATTATAATCTTTTTGTATGTTTCCAGGCCACCCATATTTCTGTTGCTATGAGTCTTGATTCTGTTGGGTTGTCTTGTCTTACTGATGTATTAAAGGTCTAGGGTAAAATTCTAGAAAGAACATTGCTGTGTTAAGGATATTTGCAATGTAAATTTTGATATATATAAATCAACTATTCCACCACAAAATGCTGTATACAGTTTATAACTTCTTTGCTGTTTTTTTTCTACATACCTGACTGTACTAAGTATTATCAACCTTTTTGATGTTTAAGAATATGAATCATGATACATGGTATGCTATTCTACATTCATTTCATATTCTTTCAGTTATATATTAGGTGTAATCTTTAATGATTTGTTAGAATTTTAGTGTATAAAAGAAGTTAGCTCATGTGGGTGTTTAATAATTTTTAAGATTTTCCATTGTGCTACCTAGAAATTTCTAATGTCGGGGCTGGGTGCAGTGGCTCACGCCTGTAATCCCAGCACTTTGGGAGGGTGAGGCGGGTAGATCACTTAAGGTCAGGAGTTCGAAACCAGCCTGGCCAACATGGTGCAACCCCATCTCTACTAAAAATACAAAAATTAGCTGGGCATGGCGGCGGGTGCCTGTAATTCCAGCTACTCAGGAGGCTAAGGTGGGAGAATCGCTTGAACCCAGGCGGGGGAGGTTGCGGCAAGCTGAGATCATGCCACTGCACTCCAGCCTGGGTGACAGAGCGAGACTCCGCCTCAAAAAACAAACAAATAACAAAAACCTCCAAACAGAAAAGCATAGTAGGAGCATATTTTCTTTAAAAACAATCCATGCCAAATTTTGTTGTTTTGTATATATATATAAAAAACAAAAAGTTTCTGTAAGGCAAACAGTTAGTAGAAGGGCTGAGACTGGGTGCATTTGTTGGAGCGCAACAGAAAGGAAGGAATGAAAATCAGCCCTGTTTTCCCAGCTTGAAAACTGGGGAAAGTAAACATCTTTTCAAATGGTTTCACACTTTTTTCTCATAAATTGCCTGCCTTATCTTTTTGACTATATGTCCACCACATTTTGTGTCTTCTTTCATCATTTTTCATTTTCTATATATGAATTCTTTGCATATCATATGCATTGCATGTACTTTCTCTCAGCCTCAAATTATCTTTTGACTCTATAGGTTTTAACATCTTAATACGGTTTAATCTGACAATCTTTCTCTTTATGGTTTCTAGGTTTCCCATCTTCATTAAAAATGTTTCTTCTGATTTCCCATTGTGCTGAGGTGGGTGGCACGGCAGAGAAGGATGACGCCGGAGTTTGACAAGGAGGTAACTTTTGGAATTCTCCACTTTATCAGTACTTACAGGATCCAGAACACACAGACTTTGAAATATGTTCTCTATCACCAAAAACGGAAAAATGCACCACAGAGGAACAACAAAAGCTTCCTACAAGAGTCCTACCAAAATACCTGGGATACAGTCATCACTCAATGAACATAAACTCCACTTACTGGCATGCTCAGGGAATGGGTTATTAAGCAATGCATCCTGTTAAAAGTGGCTGAAACCACCAAAAGTTGGATTTTTTTTCTCGGCGCAGTAAGAAAGATGATTTACTTCACAAGTTGGATATTGGATTCCGACTCACCTCATTGCCTACCATCCTGCAACAGGAAGTCCTGTTTCGAGAGGATGTGGAGCTGACTGAGCTACTTGATGCCAGCATCCTGTCTGCAGGGCAACCTCAACAACAGGAAAGTGGACGCCTTCCAACACTTTGCTCCCTGGCAACCCCTAATGTTTGGGGTGTCTCAATGCTATTTGCCTTCATTAGTTTGCTAGCTATGCTTCCCA